TTTAATTTTCAATTTTTAATTTTTCGATTTTTCGTTTTTTCGATTTTTCGATTTTTCGATTTTTCGGTTTTTCGATTTTCGATTTTTCGATTTTTCGATTTTCGATTTTTCGATTTTTCGATTTTTCGATTTTTCGATTTTCGATTTTTCGATTTTTCGATTTTCGATTTTTCGATTTTTCGATTTTCGATTTTTCGATTTTTCGATTTTTCGATTTTTCGATTTTTCGATTTTCGATTTTCGATTTTTCGATTTTTCGATTTTTCGATTTTTCGATTTTTCGATTTTTCGATTTTTCGATTTGTCGATTTTTCGATTTTTCGATTTTTCGATTTTTCGATTTTCGATTTTCGATTTTTCGATTTTTCGATTTTCGATTTTTCGATTTTTCGATTTGATTTTGATTTTGATTTTGATTTTTGATTTTTGATTTTGATTTTTGTTTTTTGATTTTGATTTTTGATTTTTGATTTTTGATTTTTGATTTTTGATTTTTGATTTTTGATTTTGATTTTTGATTTTTGCTTTTTGATTTTCAATTTTTCACTTTTTCATTTTTCATTTTTCATTCTTCAGATTTCAGTTTTCATTTTTTTAGTTTTCAGTTATCAGTTCTTTGTTATCTGTTACCTGTTTCTTTTATCTGTTACTTTTTATCTGTTATCTGTCATCTTTTATTTTTATCTGTTATAAGTTATCTGTTATATGTTACCACCTGTTACCTGTTACCACCTTTTACCTGTTATCTGTTGTCTGTTATCTTCCATATAGCATTGAAAACATCCTGTATACAATTGTATAACAGACTCAGATTTATGTGAGATGCCGGCAACGTCGCATGTGTTGTTGTTAATACCATACATGGCGTTATAAAATCTTCCATGTAGCAAATTGTATAGCAGACTTAGATTTATATGAGGATCGTCGCATAAATCTAGCTATAACACGACTTGCAAAAAAATGGCGCTTGACACTGACATATGTCAACCGTGTTCGTCTATGGATAGCAGTGGACTATGCTTTCTTCAGTGTATATGTTTTCTGTTTTGTAATGTCAATGTCATTGTCATAGGTAATTTTTTCTAACCTGGAAAATGAAATGTATTTTGTTTAAAATTAAAATTCAATAACTCCTATTGTGAGATGTGTGCATCTACAACATAATGAAAGGAAAAATTAAGATTCTGAAAGTTAATTCCTAAATATCATAGTAAGGAAATCCGTAAAACTAAAAAAAAAGTAAACATAAACACCTTGAGAAAACTTCTTCCGAATCAAGTGGTTAAAGTGGAGTTTTCAAACAATTTTTGTTGAAAATAAGGCCGTTAGTTTACAAGCAGGTATGTAACTGAGCGATCCGCTAATGTGTGTGTATCTTGCTTATAAAAAATGCTGTATTTAGATATTGCTATTCACATTAGCTACCGTTCTTTGATAGGATATTTTCAAATTGAACTTTTGTCTTATTTTTACTATTTATTGCAGGAGAACAGTTGTTGAACCAGGTCCTGGTGCATACTTATGTAGTTGTCACTTTGTGGATGGGAAAAAAGAAAATAGACCTACATTGTTTAGGTATAATAGGGAGAAGCAATTGAACTTTCCATCGCCAGAAAGAAGAACCCGTAAAAATAACAACAATGTGAAAATTGAACTCTATAATATGTTACTTCAAATTGGGCCCTTTTAAGGGATGTATGTAATAATTATGTGATCTGCAGAAATAAAAAATAGTTTAGATACAACACATGGCATCATAAATTATTTTAATGTAGAGTTCAGTACTCGTATAGGTAACTTTCACTCCCCTGGCAGGCTTAATCTAAGCGATATCACAAATATGTCTATACCAAGTTACGATTATACTGTGCAAGAGTACTTATCTTACAAATTTTGACAAGTAATGGTGTCTGTTGTTTTGACAAGTCTTGGAAGTCACAAGTTCTTAAAGCAGCTACATTCTAAATCGATTTAGATCAAAATAAACAACTGCAGTGGCTGTGAAAGTCTTAGTAATTTTGAAAACTTTGGTAGTAGATATGATTATCAATGCTATTTTCAGCGCTTTGCATATTCCTTCATCTGCTTGATAATATTTGCCAATCGAAGGGATAGATGACAAGTTTGTTTACTTATTTTCCATTTATACATACTACTCAGGTGAGATACTACTACTACAAGGTTTTTACAATATTTATGAGTTTGTTGGTGGTAAAGTTCTTCGTTTGGGAAAAATTCAACAGAAGCAGATGAACAATGCTCGCTTTATGATCTGGAGAAAAATGTGCTATCGCCTTAAAATAAAATTTCCTCTATTTTTTTAATGTTGTATGATTATGATCAATCAATTAGAAACATGACATATAATAATAACATCTCAAAAAATTAGACCAGAAGCTTGAAATTATTAAGTACTATAGTTGTTGGACAGTAAGTAATAGTATCGCTTGAAAATCAAATTTTGTAATCTGTTTCCTCTGATTCAATAATGAATTTTTTTGTAATCTATGATTAAGATCAGTCTTAGAAACAGGACAGATGTGAGTATCCTTGAAATTAGACATATAATAATAACATCTTTAAAAACAGAATAGAAATTTGAAATCATCAAGTGCTATAGTTTTTTGACAAGTAATGGTGTCTGTTGTTTTGACAAGTCTTGGAAGTGACAAGTCCTTAAAGCAGCTACATTCTAAATCGAAGTACATACATTCTGCATTGGGATCAAAATAAACAACTGCAGTGGCTGTGAAAGTCTTAGTAATTTTGAAAACTTTGGTAGTAGATATGATTATCAATGCTATTTTTCAGCGCTTTGCATATTCCTTCATCTGCTTGATAATATGTGCCACTGTTAGCCAGCTAATAGGTCTACATATTTAGATAAATTGAACAGAGGGTCAAGACTGAACTCTTACTGAACTTCATAGAAGTGACTGACTACTTACGTTTGCAATAGAAACACATAAACTGTAAACACTTCACACAACACTTTCACTATTTGTAGCTGCGATTGCTTGTTCTAAGCTTCTAATTAATCCTTATTAACGGGAGCCTCATTATTAAGATTTCGATAATGTTTACATTCATACATTGTAGGTTAGAAATCGGAGGTGATGCAATCAGACATACGCTTTATATCAATCGGTTAGAAAAGCGGAGCTTTATGCCATATTGTAAAATTATAACATGAATAGGTGCTTACAATCATATTTTTACAGTATTTATAAACCGATGATGATTTCAATAAATTGATGAACGTCAAAGAATAATTGCAGCCTTTGGCGGTAGACATCGCAATCTGTAAACATAAAAAACTACTAGATTCATCCGATTTTAATGGCTCTAGTCCGGTCCGTTTAGACAATGGAATATAGAAATTTTGAATCTTTTCGAAAATGTTGATTTTCACGCGCAAAAAAGGACAATTCTATTTGGCGTGATCCAATATTGGATGAAGCGATAGTCATGAAGCCGAAAATGGCACGTTTTTGACGTTCCGCTCGCACTCGCTCGCTTTCGTAATACGATCGCATCTACAATACCCCGCCTAACAGGAATCCGGGGATCTGGAGGGGAAATTCAAAATTGAAACTTCAAACTAAAAATGTGTGCATATCTTTGAATTTTCTAATCTGCCGAGTTTAAAAAATGCGATCGGGTAACGTGTCGTATGTCGGTTTAATCAGGAGACTTTGGCCTTTCGTTTTGCGAAAAAAAATCGTAGCTACGTCGCTCCGTAACGCAGGTCCGTATCGACGAAGACAAAGTACGCCGAAAAACGGTTGTCATCGGTACTTTTGAGGCGCTCAAAGTTTACTTTTTCGAAATTTGACGGTAATTCTGACGGTCAGAATCGTTTCGTCAGCTCATTATCGTTATTTTTCGATAGCTGTATAATTTTTACTCGCTCACGTACGGTAGTAATAAGCGAGGACAGAGCCGGATGACAAGGTGACTTTTTCACGCGTCGAAAAGTAGCGTATTGTCGAGGAATTTTTAAAAAATCGAAACTTTCAACGTAAACGAATAATAATGATGAAAATAGTATTAAAAGAGTGTCCGAAGCATGGACTTTCGCACGCAAAAATCGTCAGGTTCGTAGCTTCTTTATCTTCGGAGGAGATAGCTGATATACGGCGAAGCAGCGCGCTTTATACGCAAAAAAGTCATTCTTGACGACGTTCGAGGTTCGTTTATTCGAAACGGGTACCGTAAACGAAAAAACGTCTCTCCGCATAATTTGTAGCGCTCGCCGAGATGTACGAAACGTGGTGCGCGAAATTCCTTTTCTCTTCGGCATAAGGGAGATATCGTAGTTTTCCAGGCGATTCGTCGTTTTTGTCGCTTTTTTTTCGAACATTTCTAGAAAAAAAAACCGAGACGCGGAACCGAACAGATTTAGCTAATAGGCACGTATTTTTCGTTTAGCTATCGAACGAGACCGATCTCGAGTCGATATTTCGATAAACGGCGAAACCAGTGTGAAATAACGCCGCGTACCGTCCGAAAAACGGTCGATTTTTCGACTTTACCGGCCGTTTTCGATCCGATCCGTTCCTCTCGCCGCGACGGCTCTCGCTCCCCCGTAAAGCGCCGAGTTTCTACTTTCCGAAACGGTACCTCTTTCCTTCCGGACGTTTCGCGAACCTCCTAAAAAACCGCGAAAACCGCGTCGACGTCGCACGGCCTGACTCTAACGTCACGTGACCTTTTAAGAAAAAAACAATCGATCACCGCTTAATATAGTCGACTAGCGCAGTTTTTAGCATGCCAACGCTATGCTAAATATTGTCCGTTGATGTCTTTATTTAAAACCACCCGTAGCGCAGTTGCTGGTATGCTAATGCAATGCTAGCGATATATACTTTATCCCTATCTCTAATCGTTTTTTATCCTTTGGCATCTTTGATCTGTTATCTCGTATCTGGTATCTGGTGTCTGGTGTCTGGTATCTGGCCTCTGGTATCTGGTGTCTGGTGTCTGGTATTTGGTATCTGTTATCGCTTTATCTGGTATCTGGTATCTGTTGTCTGGTATCTGGTGTCTGGTGTCTGGTATCTGGTATCTAGTGCCTGGTATCTGGTATCTGGTGTCTGGTATCTGGTGTCTGGCATCTGGTATCTGGTATCTGGTATCTGGTGTCTGGTATCTGGTATCTGGTATCTGATGTCTGGTATCTGGTATCTGGTGTCTGGTATCTGGTATCTGGTGTCTGCTATCTGGGTCTGGTATCTGGTGTCTGGTGTCTGGTCTGGTAATTTTTAATTTTTAGATTTTTCGATTTTTCGATTTTTCGATTTTTCGATTTTTCGATTTTTTAGATTTTTAGATTTTTAGATTTTTAGATTTTTAGATTTTTAGATTTTTAGATTTTTAGATTTTTAGATTTTTAGATTTTTAGATTTTTAGATTTTTAGATTTTTAGATTTTTAGATTTTTTGATTTTTTGATTTTTTGATTTTTTGATTTTTTGATTTTTTGATTTTTTGATTTTTTGATTTTTTGATTTTTTGATTTTTTGATTTTTTGATTTTTTGATTTTTTGATTTTTTGATTTTTTGATTTTTTGATTTTTTGATTTTTTGATTTTTGATTTTTTGATTTTTTGATTTTTTGATTTTTGACTTTTTGATTTTTGACTTTTTGATTTTTTGATTTTTTGATTTTTTGATTTTTTGATTTTTTATTTTCACCTTATTTAAATCTGCTGACGATTTCCGTTTTCCGTTTTTCGTTTTTTGTTTTTCGTTTTTCATATTTTATTTTTCATTCTTCATATTTCATTTTTCATTTTTCATTTTGCATTTTTCATTCATTTTTCATTATTCATTTTTCAACGTCGCATGTGTCACCATAAATAACACACAATGGCATTATAAAATCGTCGATATAGCATTAATGCCCTCTATAAAATTGTATGACAAACTCAGATTTATGTGAGGATCCGGCAACGTCGCATGTGTCACCATAAATAACACACAATGGCATTATAAAATCTTCGCTATAGCATTAATGCCCTCTATAAAATTGTATGACAAACTCCGATTTATGTGAGGATCCGGCAACGTCGCATGTCTAGCTACCGCACTTACAAAAAATGGCGCTTGACACTTGACATATCTCAACCGTGTTCGTCTAAGGATAGCACCTTCTATCTTCAGTGTAAATGTTTTATGATTTGACAGGAATAAAAATTATTTTTACCTTATTTAAATCTGCTGACGATTAATAAGGATACCTCACGATCTTCTTAAAAGATGAAATACGTTATCACGATAGATATACACTGAGGCACTTCGTCTGAACCGAAAAAGTGTAAACACTCGGCACCGGGTATCACTACACAATACACACACTGTTATAAGTACAAAGTCTTGCTATGTTGTGGATTTCTGCTCTCTTCAGGAATTGATCTTTGGCATTAATAACGTCTTTCAATCATATTTATCGTATTTAAGCTGATGAACTGCTAAACGTGAAAGAATAATTGCACAATCTGTCAGTAAACATCGGAATCTATCGGTATCATCGCAATCTGTCGGTAAACACCGAAACCTACTCGATTGTTATAACGAATAAGGGTATAGTCCGGTACCGTTTGTACTATAGAATATAGAAATTTTGAATCCTTTCGGAAATGTTTATTTTCACGCGTAAAAAAGGACAATGGTATTCGGCGTGATCCTATATTCGATGAAGCGACCAACATAAAGCCGAAAATGGCACGTTTTTGACGTTCCGCTTGCACGCGCTCGCTTTCGTAATACGATCGTGTCTACAATACCCCGCCTAACAGGAATCCGGGGATCTGGAGGGGAAATTCAAAATTGAAACGTCAAACTAAAAATATCTGCATATCTTTGAATTTTGTAATCTGCCGAGTTTAAAAAATGCGATCGGGTAACGTGTAGTATGTCGGTTTAATCAGGAGACTTTGGTCTTTCGTTTTGCGAAAAAAAAACGTAGCTACGTCGCTCCGTAACGCAGGTGCGTATCGACGAAGACAAAGTACGCCGAAAAACGGTTGTCATCGGTACTTTTGAGGCGCTCAAAGTTTACTTTTTCGAAATTTGACGGTAATTCTAACGGTCAGAATCGTTTCGTCAGCTCATTATCGTTATTTTCGATAGCTGTATAAGTTTTACTCGCTCACGTACGGTAGTAATAAGCGAGGACAGAGCCGGATGACAAGGTGACTTTTTCACGCGTCGAAAAGTAGCGTATTGTCGAGGAATTTTTAAAAAATCGAAACTTTTCAAAGTAAACGAATAATAATGATGAAAATAGTATTAAAAGAGTGTCCGAAGCATGGACTTTCTCACGCAAAAATCGTCAGGTTCGTAGCTCCTTTATCTTCGGAGGAGATAGCTGATATACGGCGAAGCAGCGCGCTTTATACGCAAAAAAGTCATTCTTGACGACGTTCGAGATTCGTTTACTCGAAACGGGTACCGTAAACGAAAAAACGTCTCTCCGCATAATTTGTAGCGCTCGCCGAGATGTACGAAACGCGGCACGCGAAATTCCTTTTCTCTTCGGCATAAGGGAGATATCGTAGTTTTCAAGGCGATTCGTCATTTTTGTCGCTTTTTTTTCGAACATTTCTAGAAAAAAAACCGAGACGCGGAACCGAACAGATTTAGCTTATGGTACGTATTTCTCGTTTAGCTATCGAACGAGACCGATCTCGAGTCGATATTTCGATAAACGGCCGAAACGAGTGTGAAATAACGCCGCGTACCGTCCGGAAAACGGTAGATTTTTCGACTTTACCGGCCGTTTTCGATCCGATCCGTTCCTCTCGCCGCGACGGCTCTCGCCCGCCCGTAAAGCGCCGAGTTTCTACTTTCCGAAACGGTACCTCCTTCCTTCCGAACGTTTCGCGAACCGGGAAAAAACCGAAAAAACCGCGTCGACGTCGCCCGCCCAAAATTCTAACGTCACGTGACCTCTTCCTTAAAACAATCGATCACCGCTTAATATAGTCGACTAGCGCAGTTTTTAGCATGCAACGCTATGCTAAATATTGTCCGTTGATGTCTTTATTAAAACCACCCGTAGCGCAGTTGCTGGTATGCTAATGCAATGCTAGCGATATATACTTTATCCTATCTCTAATCGTTTTTTATCCTTTGGCATCTTTGATCTGTTATCTCGTATCTGGTATCTGGTGTCTGGTGTCTGGTATTTGGTATCTGTTATCGCTTTATCTGGTATCTGGTATCTGTTGTCTGGTATCTGGTGTCTGGTGTCTGGTATCTGGTATCTAGTGCCTGGTATCTGGTATCTGGTGTCTGGTATCTGGTGTCTGGCATCTGGTATCTGGTATCTGGTATCTGGTGTCTGGTATCTGGTATCTGGTATCTGATGTCTGGTATCTGGTATCTGGTGTCTGGTATCTGGTATCTGGTGTCTGCTATCTGGTGTCTGGTATCTGGTGTCTGGTGTCTGGTCTGGTAATTTTTAATTTTTCGATTTTTCGATTTTTCGATTTTTCGATTTTTCGATTTTTTCGATTTTTCGATTTTCGATTTTTCGATTTTTCGATTTTTCGATTTTTCGATTTTTCGATTTTTCGATTTTTGATTTTTTGATTTTTGATTTTTGATTTTTGATTTTTGATTTTGATTTTTGTTTTTGATTTTTGATTTTTGATTTTTTGATTTTTTGATTTTTTGATTTTTGATTTTTTGATTTTTGATTTTTTGATTTTTTGATTTTTTGATTTTTTGATTTTTGATTTTTTGATTTTTTGTTTGTTTTTGATTTTTTGATTTTTTGATTTTTTGATTTTTTGATTTTTGATTTTTTGATTTTTTGATTTTTGATTTTGATTTTTTGATTTTTGATTTTTGTTTTTTTTTGATTTTTTGATTTTTTGATTTTTTGATTTTTTGATTTTTTATTTTCACCTTATTTAAATCTGCTGACGATTTCCGTTTTCCGTTTTTCGTTTTTTGTTTTTCGTTTTTCATATTTTATTTTCATTTTTCATTCTTCATTTTCATTTTTCATTTTTCATTTTGCATTTTTCATTCATTTTTCATTATTTTTTTCAACGTCGCATGTGTCACCATAAATAACACACAATGGCATTATAAAATCGTCGATATAGCATTAATGCCCTCTATAAAATTGTATGACAAACTCAGATTTATGTGAGGATCCGGCAACGTCGCATGTGTCACCATAAATAACACACAATGGCATTATAAAATCTTCGCTATAGCATTAATGCCCTCTATAAAATTGTATGACAAACTCCGATTTATGTGAGGATCCGGCAACGTCGCATGTCTAGCTACCGCACTTACAAAAAATGGCGCTTGACACTTGACATATCTCAACCGTGTTCGTCTAAGGATAGCACCTTCTATCTTCAGTGTAAATGTTTTATGATTTGACAGGAATAAAAATTATTTTTACCTTATTTAAATCTGCTGACGATTAATAAGGATACCTCACGATCTTCTTAAAAGATGAAATACGTTATCACGATAGATATACACTGAGGCACTTCGTCTGAACCGAAAAAGTGTAAACACTCGGCACCGGGTATCACTACACAATACACACACTGTTATAAGTACAAAGTCTTGCTATGTTGTGGATTTCTGCTCTCTTCAGGAATTGATCTTTGGCATTAATAACGTCTTTCAATCATATTTATCGTATTTAAGCTGATGAACTGCTAAACGTGAAAGAATAATTGCACAATCTGTCAGTAAACATCGGAATCTATCGGTAATCATCGCAATCTGTCGGTAAACACCGAAACCTACTCGATTGTTATAACGAATAAGGGTATAGTCCGGTACCGTTTGTACTATAGAATATAGAAATTTTGAATCCTTTCGGAAATGTTTATTTTCACGCGAAAAAAGGACAATATTCGGCGTGATCCTATATTCGATGAAGCGACCAACATAAAGCCGAAAATGGCACGTTTTTGACGTTCCGCTCGCACGCGCTCGCTTCGTAATACGATTATCTACATACCCCGCCTAACAGGAATCCGGGGATCTGGAGGGGAAATTCAAAATTGAAACGTCAAACTAAAAATCTGCATATCTTTGAATTTTGTAATCTGCCGAGTTTAAAAAATGCGATCGGGTAACGTGTAGTATGTCGGTTTAATCAGGAGACTTTGGTCTTTCGTTTTGCGAAAAAAAAACGTAGCTACGTCGCTCCGTAACGCAGGTGCGTATCGACGAAGACAAAGTACGCCGAAAAACGGTTGTCATCGGTACTTTTGAGGCGCTCAAAGTTTACTTTTCGAAATTTGACGGTAATTCTGACGGTCAGAATCGTTTCGTCAGCTCATTATCGTTATTTTTCGATAGCTGTATAATTTTACTCGCTCACGTACGGTAGTAATAAGCGAGGACAGAGCCGGATGACAAGGTGACTTTTTCACGCGTCGAAAAGTAGCGTATGTTGTCGAGGATTTTTAAAAAATCGAAACTTTTCAACGTAAACGAATAATAATGATGAAAATAGTATTAAAAGAGTGTCCGAAGCATGGACTTTCTCACGCAAAAATCGTCAGGTTCGTAGCTCCTTTATCTTCGGAGGAGATAGCTGATATACGGCGAAGCAGCGCGCTTTATACGCAAAAAAGTCATTCTTGACGTCGTTCGAGATTCGTTTACTCGAAACGGGTACCGTAAACGAAAAAACGTCTCTCCGCGTAATTTGTAGCGCTCGCCGAGATGTACGAAACGCGGCACGCGAAATTCCTTTTCTCTTCGGCATAAGGGAGATATCGTAGTTTTCAAGGCGATTCGTCATTCTTGTCGCTTTTTTTTCGAACGTTTCTAGAAAAAAACCGAGACGCGGAACCGAACAGATTTAGCTTATTGGTACGTATTTCTCGTTTAGCTATCGAACGAGACCGATCTCGAGTCGATATTTCGATAAACGGCGAAACCAGTGTGAAATAACGCCGCGTACCGTCCGGAAAACGGTCGATTTTTCGACTTTACCGGCCGTTTTCGATCCGATCCGTTCCTCTCGCCGCGACGGGTCCCGCTCCCCGGTAAAGCGCCGAGTTTCTACTTTCCGAAACGGTACCTCTTTCCCTCCGAACGTACCGCGAACCTCCTAAAAACCGCGAAAACCGCGTCGACGTCGCACGGCCTGACTCTAACGTCACGTGACCTTCTAAGGAAAAACAATCGATCACCGCTTAATATAGTCGATAAACGAAATCGCCCGTCCTAATACAAACAGGTCCGAAAGAATTCTCAGAATTGAGTTCGGAACACGGCCAACTTCAAATCCTAGAAAAACGTCTACCGTCTGGTACGCCATGTTTGCAATTGTTTTTAACGGTCGTCGCTTGCCTTCTACTCGCGCTATTCGGAGCTTTATTTTCACGTGTTTTCAAGGGAAAATTCGGCCGCACACCGGAAAAAGTGTGTTCGTAGCATGTAGAGTAATGTGTTCGGCAGTTTTTGTAGCGGTTTGCACCTTTGATTACGGAAGAACGAAGGAACACTTCAGAGATACCGCGGACTTCTTACATGGGGTCTTCGGTAACGCTAATTTCTGTCGTTTTGAGAGGAATGTGCTAGTGGCGTATGGAATAAGTTGCTTGTAGTGATGTGCATTTTTGGATTACGGGAAGAATGAAGGAGAACTAAGCTGATAACGCGGTACAGACATGGCCGGAAAATGGCAAGTGCTAGTTTATTTTTATTTTTAATTATTTTTACATGATGTGTGTTTTTTGGAATTGCTTATAGTGCGTCGTATGCACAGAATCAGTTTATCTCAAATAGTAAAATCATATACCAGAAAATGTTTATGAGGACTATCTACATTGGGGGGGCGCTTATCAGCAAATATAGGGCTGAAATGACCCCTTGATACTTATCAGACGCCTTGGACTTTTACAGCTAGCATATGCTGGATGTTTCAAATTTGATCTTCAGAACAGGTAACTGGGAAACGGCAAGAGTTATGTTTTTATGAATTTTACCTCTGTCTTCAACCGCCTGAACCGCTCGAGCGATAACTAAACTTTTTTCAACTGCAATAGTAAAAGCTTAAATTTAAATCTACTGATTTCTATATGGAATATTATTTTTGCAATAAGTGTTTAGGTAGGTCAGGTTTCGGTAGTAGCTTTTCACATAAATAATACCATTCAAAAGACATCGAGTTTTACATGCAAGATTATAATTTTCAATCAATTTCTGACAACTTTTTCCATATACTACAACAGCTTATCTGTCTAACGGAAGTGAATGAGCCGTATTCATAAAACAAAGGATATCCTTGTACTTGCAACTTTGAAGGAAATCATCCAGATGGTATTTATAATAATTTCAAGTAAATGCTTTTGCTATTTGAGTATAAGCATATCCTCCAAAGCAGTGACATAAGTAAAAGGATATTTATAATCTTCACTTATACTGCATAAAGCATATCCTTAAAAAATTCTGAGTGTGGGCAGTCGTAGACTCAACTTCGTAACGAAAGATGGTCAAACGATGATGGCGGAAATTGTGGATGTTAGGGATGTTAACCCTCCATCGCTCGCGCCTCATTCTATTACACCATCGCTCGCGTGCTAGATTTTATCTAACATTCAGATGTTCAATAAAAAAGCTATTTTTACTTTAATTAAATGTTTATATTGTCAAGTATACTATTAAGCTATACATTAAAAATTATTGTTATAAACTATAACAAAAATACTAACGAAATACTGAAAATTCTTCATCTAAAATTTCTGAACTGAAGGTTTCTTCTTCTGATGTTTCATTCTGGAATCCTTTAGAGCTGAAGGAAACCCTAAAAAATAAATGCAGGGTATATTGAAAGCGTTTACATAAATGCTTTACAAAACACTTACGCACTTTAAACATTCTCGTTACGTCCATAGCATTCACGACAGGTCAATGAAGTTATTGCTGTATGTTCCTTGCATATCGGTGATCTACAGATTGAACAATTTCTCTGAGTGAACCTGTTTTTCACAATGGACAGAATTCACATTTCACTTTGGCTTGAGTGGCTTGGTCTCTATTTGGGGTGGTCTTTCTCCAGTTATGTTTCTAATCTTTTGACTAAGTAGATAAGGCAGACTTGGAATCTGAGAACGTCTGTACAGGTGAGGCATGACAAGCAATTTACTAAGTTCCGATATAAATTATCTTCTGGTAATAATATTGTTTGTGTTCTCTCGATAGATTATTTGGCTGTTGGTGGTTGATATATTCAGAAGCCCACAGAATACGGTATATGGCCATCTATTACTGAATCGTGCTGTTGAATATTCAGATTTCATTTTGTCGACCACATCTACGCCTCCTTTCGTAAGATTATAGTCTGTAATAACTTCGGGCTTGAAAGCATCTCCAGTGTCATCGTCGACCTTACCATCATCATGCAGGGTTGATAATAACAGCACGTTTTTGTTTCGCTTTGGTACATATGAAACAAGAAGGCGCTTATTGGGGTTTTCATTCGAGTCTTCACCATATGCAAACAGGCTGCTTTTTACTGGTCTATTTTTCACATCTAGAAGTTCTCGAGGAATTTGAGGCTTATTTTTGCGCATTGTTCCTATTGTAGTTAGTCGATGGTTTACTAATAAGCTACACTGATCAACAGCCAAAAAATATCCTAAATAAAATCAACAAAATATTACTATTTTTAATGTGCTAAAACCGGAATGAAACTTATTTTTTCAATATTAGTTCAAGTTTTAGAGATACGGTAATTATATGTGTTCCTGCTGTGACAGTGTTAATATACTGTAATTCACAAGGATGCACGTGCTACATTTTTATATTCGGCAAGGAAAGATGATGTAATCGGCATGATTGTGTTACGTTATACATACGTGTACATTATATTGTTTTATATTAGCCATTTTTCCTCAGTTGGCTGACAGCGTTCATGCAAGATGTCTCGAAAGTGTGTAAACAATCCAGATCAGTTTTGTTACGTGTGTGGTGATGTGACTTTTGCGTCTCAGAGACGGTCTATTACTCCACTAATAACATAGTCATATTAGCTTTATTTCGGTTGTAAACTATGTGATCAAGACAAACAGTGGGCACCCCACATCTGCTGTAATACATGTGCTTCAAGTCTGAGGAGCTGGTTAAATGGCAAAAAGCGGTCTATGCGCTTTGCTGTCCCAATGGTTTGGAGAGAGCCTACAATCATATTAATGATTGTTACTTTTGCATGGTACCTTGTGTTGGACAAGCCACAGGTATGTCCAAGAAAAAAAAATCGGTTATTAACTACCCAAACGTACCATCTGCGATGAGACCTGTGCCTCACAGTGACGAAAATCCTATTCTAAAACCCCCAGAATCCTACACTTGCGAATCAGAAACGAATCAGATCATGGCGATCGAGTGATTCGTCATGAAAAAGATATGCCATCAACGTCAAGAGATCCTGATTTTATACCGAGCACGTCATGCCACCAACCGCACAAAATAACACAGTCAGAATTAAATGATCTTGTAAGAGATTTAGAACAACAAAATGTAACAGGCAGAGTTACTTGGATCAAGACTGCAGTGGAACTTGTTAGAAGACGATGTTTCGGTATGTGTTTTTCGTAAACGCCACAAAGACTTAGAACCATTTTTCAATATGGAGAATAACTTGGTTTTCTGCAGTAACATTAACGGCTTACTGGCGGCTTTAAATATAAACTATAACCCAGAAGAATGGAGATTGTTTATAGACAGTTCAACATTGAGTTTAAAGGCAGTGTTATTGCATATTGGAAATTTTTACCATCTCTTCCTGTAGGGTATGCAGTTCACATGAAACAATCATATGACAATATGAAGTACCTATTGACATGCATAAAATGCGATGAGCACCAATGGCATATTTGTGGCGATTTGAAAGTTGTTACACTTTTACTTGGGCTGCAGCTAGGCTACACAAAGTTTTGCTGTTTTTTGTGTGAATGGGACAGTGGGACAGTCGGGCAAAGGCACTTCATTACACCAGACAAAACTGGCCTGTTCGTCAATTCCTAGAGCCAGGTCAAAAAATGTACAGCATATGCCTTTAGTAGATTCGAAAAAAAATTTATTACCACCACTGCATATCAAGTTGGGCCTAATGAAAAACTTTGTCAAGGCATTAGATAGAGATGGGTCAGCTTTTCAATACCTGCGTCAGAAATTTCCAAGACTAAGTGAGGCAAAGGTTAAAGAAGGTTTTTTGTTGGGCCACAGATTCGAAATATTTTGAAAGATACACAGTTTGAAAACAAAACAGGTATTGATAAAACTGCTTGGAATGATTTCCGTCTGGTGGTCACTAATTTCTTGGGAAATAGAAAAGCTGACAACTATAAAGCCCTTGTCAAAAATATGCTGCATCGTATCAAAAGATGGGGTGTAATATGTCTCTTAAGATACATTTCCTACACTCACACCTGGACTTTTTTCCTGACAATTGCGGAGCCGTAAGTGATGAGCACGGCGAACGTTTTCATCAGGATATCTCAACAATGGAAAAAAGGTACCAGGGAAAGTGGAATCCTTCCATGCTTGCAGACTACTGTTGGACTCTTGGTAGAGATGCTCCAAAAACGATCCATAAAAAGAACAGCAAAAAGACAGCGCATATAGTGAATCTTGTTACTTTTTTTAATATATCCTTAAAAATAAAAGTTTTTTTCTAAACCACAACTAATTTTTTTATTTCATTGTCATTTTTGGATTCAGCGCCCCAAAATTAACAAAGAAGTGCACTTTTCCCACAAGATACAATTAAAAAACTAAAATTTGTTGTCCAGTGTATTAGCCAATGGCACTGAGGTGAAATAATTGTCAGTGGTTACATTTCTTCCTGTACCACTAATTGGCTCTATAAGTCGCAATACAACACTCGCTGCGTCATTTTTTAGTTGAAATGGTCCCTCTGGTTGTTTACCCGCGTAGATTTCAAGATTTGATGTAAAAAATGTTCTGGCGTCTACTAATCCATAGATCTTTATGCCGTATTTGGCGGGCTTGTTGGCTATGTATTGTCTAAATCGGCATCTGCCCCGAAATGCCTCCAACATTTCGTCAATTGTTACGTAACATCCCGGAGAATAAGCTTGTTTACAATTTGTTACGAATGTTTCAAAAAATTGGCGAATCGGAGTTAGATTATCAATTTTAGAAGTCTCATGTCGTTTGGTGGCATCATCAAATCTAATAGATTGAATCAACTGATGAAACTTTTTTTGGACATAGTAGCGATAAAGAAGTCAGGTGCTGTACCATCGGTTTTCCACATTTCTTCAGGTTGAGGTGTTGGGCTTTCTTTACGCCAGCCATATAAAGGATTCCAGTAAATGCTAGCATTTCGTCATAGTCAGTTGGAGGACAGTCTCGGGGGCGCTGATAAGATTCTCTCATCAAATCTAACTTCAGATTTGTATATTTTACAATATCATTTATCATCGTATCTGTAACAAACAACTTCCAGCAGTGTATAATGGTTTTTGCATTTTTTGCATAACTTTTTACTCCAGGAAGTTTTGTAACAAGATTATGGGCTTTTGTCTTGCCTTTGGGTGCAGGTGGTTTTTGTTTGAACCAAGGTGTTTTATCTTTTCCGTAAAATTTAGGTATACCATCAATCAAGATCTCTGGAGATTCAGGAAATATCCCAACTGTTTCATCTCCAGACTGTTCTGTATCTGTGTTATACTCATTATGCTCTGAAGGCTGATCGCTCAGATCATTATCGGAACCAACCAACTCTTCGTCGGTCTGAATCTCTTCATACCATTGCATCCACTGCTTTTGAATTTTTTCATCCATGGCTATACTGAAAAAAGATATTTGATAAGTTGAAAATAATTAATAAAACAATAAAACTTACCGAGCCACTAGTTATATCAAATTTACTAAGGATAGTTTATCCAGAATCCGAAAATTTTACACACGCCGTCACTCGCGTCGTTAGATTTTATCTAACCCGCGGCCGAACGCCATCACTCGCGTGCTAGACTGGAACTAACATTATGCGATTGCGGCACTAGAACAAAATAGCTCCCCCCCACGACCACAGATTCACATAGTAGATTAGTTTGAAGGAGTATTCCTAGATGGTGCGCCTGCTAAACCGCGTAATTTCAAATTTATGAGAAAAATTTCAAAAAATGTTAGATTTTTCTAACGGTGCGAGCGATGGAGGGTTAAAACGTACAAACCTCGTTTACACTTGGTCGTGACCTCAAAAATTATATCGGTTCGACGAAGTAAATGTACAATGGCTTGCGGACACATTTTTAGTTGAGAATGAGGAAGCTCGAGGAGTAGCACTTTCATGTATTCATAAAATGAAGATATGTCTACGCTATCTCGGTTACCCTGGATATCAACAAGGTCAGGAACTTGGTGTTACTCAAGCAACGGTATCTCGGACTGTGGATAGAGTTGTGAACACCATAGCTGCACAGTCGAACGAATGGATCAAGTTTACAACTACCAACCATGAACTGTTGGAGGCCAAGCGGATATGGCAAAGCATGTATAAATTTCCGACAGCAATTGGTGTATCTGATTGTACACAAATAGGAATCCTGAAACCACATCGCCATGGAGATGAGTATATCAACCGGAAAGGAAAACCTACTTTAAATGTGCAAGCCACTTGTGATGCCAGTGAGATGTTCACAAGTGTTGATGTCAGTTGGCCTAGATCAGTGCATGATTTATGGAGAAATTCACAGACTAGATCTCAACTAATAAATAAAGCAAATGTTGTACTACTTGGCGATGACTGCTATGGTATTGAGCCATGCCTTATGACTCCCTTCAGAAATCCTACTCCAGGTGCACAAATAAATTATAATAAGCTTTAAAACAAGAAAGAGTTAAGCATC